ATCAGCAGACAGATCCCTTGCTGAGCAGGCGGATCCGCTGGCAGAGTCCACCTGTGTGAAAGGGGCCTTGTGCTCTTCAACACTCCATACACCCAGTATACAATGTATAGTAATGACACTGTCTACAGGTGCCTTGCCATGTCACGGAGGACACCCATGTACCAAGCATTTGATCTAAACTAGAATCACAGCTCTGGCTATTGTATTGCGGATGGCCATTCCCACTAACTGCAGATTAGTTTACTGTAGAATGAAAAAAAAATCCTTCTGACAAAACTGCTCTTTTCCAAGCAAGCAGACACACATTTAGGGGCTGGGGTCTTCATGTCAGGAGTTGTCATTAAAAATAAATTTGATGAAACTGCTTCCAAATCAAAAGTTTCCTTTTACGAGGGAGAAGAGAGATAATTGAACCCATTGATTTGTTTCACGGTTTGTTTGCCCTTTCGTTCTCTTCCTGAGGTGCTGTTTGCTGAGGAATGTTTCCAATCGCCAGGAAGACAGTGGGGTGTGTAATATTTCCCCCGCCAGCTCTCCATTCAGCCAGACAAGGGGACTGTGGCGAGCCTGCAATATGAATTTTTAATGCAGAACTTCATAACACAGCCCTTGCAGCTCCACTGCTCTGTTCTCTTGAGCTTTCAGATTTAATGCTCTGATGAGCAGAGCTCAGGCCTGGGGCGTTCTACATCATTCTGGGGTTAACCCTTGGAGCACCAATCAGAAACATTCACAGCATCGCCGGCTGATTAAAAGATATCGCTTGCTGAGCTTCATAGGCATTGGCATATTTAGGCCTATTGTTTGCCACACCTTAGTGCTGCTTTGCAGGCAGCTGGTCTGTTAATGTAGTACAGCAATGGCAGATTTATAGACTGCCACTATGAAACATGGCTTGGTATTCATCATTTCCTACTGCTTTCACTTCGATAAATGCTGCTGAGATGGATTCCCAGGAATGGTTGTCAGCAGCAAGGGGCTGTGCAAATCTATATATGTGGCTTCAGTGCTTCAAATTTTTCAGAATGTTTTGCACAAAAGTACTTCAGGGGGGGGGGGGGGGGGGGGTATTTAGTATTTTGGTGCAAAAATGGACTATACTGCTACTTAAAGGCCAGAAATCTTGTGGTCCAGTAACTTTCCGTACTCTCTACCTGTACATGAGGAAGGGGAAGAAGATTGAGGGGACTGAGATGAGGAGAGGTCTGTATTCTTCGTAACACATCAGAAATGAAGTAAGCAGGGCTGACACCACATGCTTAGGAATACAGACTTGTGTTGTCGTGTCAAAGAGGAAGGTAGGGGCACACTGAGGGGTTTATTTACTAAGAATGGAGAGTGCAAAATCTGGCGCAGCTCTGCACAATTGGCTTTCTGGCTTAATTCTCAAAGCTTAAAGGAGAAGTTCACACTTTGCCCAAAAATAAATGCAATTTTTTTGCAGGTAAAAAAAATGTGCATTTATCTTGTTTAGTTGCAGGAGCCTGTAAAGCATTGCACCAATGATCAGCAGATCACTGGTGCCATGCAGGTCTCCTGAAGACCTGTCAATATATCTGCTTGCACATACGGGATGTACGGGTACGCAGATATACTGACAGGAAAATTCAGTGCACTACCACAGTGCTCCACAGTGCCATTGTAGTTCATTGAGGACCACAAGCTGACATTGGCTAAGACTGTCGGGACTTGTAGTTCATTAATTCACTGAACGCTGTGAATGAATGACGTGGCCGTGTGGGCAGAGCCCCGCATGGCCGTGCTGTTTTTAAAAAGGGACAAAAAGCACGGGGAACTTCTCCCCGCACTTCTGTCATGAAGTGGGGGAAAATCAGGCAGCAGCTGAAGCATTGAGAACATGTTACATGTTCCACTCTAAAATTAGTGAAACATGTTCCCAAAGGTGAACTTATCCTTTAATTTACCAAGCTGAAGTTAGAAGCTGATCAGCTATCATGCACAGCTGCACCAGATTCTGAGTGCTTTACTAAGACTTAAGTGAATTACTAAGACTTAGTAACTCTCCCCCATGTTTCGGGCAACAGTTATTTTTACCAGCAACGTAGTTAAAGGGACAAAATATGTGTTTCGTACAGGAAAATACTGTTTTGTTTTGTTTTTTTGCCTGAACAAAGGCTTTTAACTTAATTAGGAATGCTGGAGGAGATTGCTGAACATGTTACATGCTACACCCTAAATATGGGTGTAATAGGTTAGAAGGTGAACATAGCATTTAAAGGAGAATTATAGAAGTTCGTTCTGCTGTTTCAACCAACAGCGAACTAAAGCCCACTGTCGTCTGATATCACAGAGCCGGTCCAGGCTCAAAAAAGATCCCATCCATATGGTCTGGATCCACTCAGATACCTGGACTGGCAACTGGCTCAACCTCTCGGCCATCTCCACGTTCCAGTGCTCCATTGAGTCCTGGAGGGGTAGAGCAGAGAGTCACCGGCTTTCTGCAGTCTGAAGATCGAGAGCTGAACAATCAGCGGTCTTTGATCACTCACTTCTCGGTGGTGGACAGATGCAGCATTGGACCAATCCTGCATCTCCTTGGTGAGTATAATTGTTTAAAATTGTTTTTGTGTACTTCTTTTTTTTTTTTTTAACCGCATCCCCACCACCCTATAGCAGAAATACTGCTACAGGGTGGCCCAGGTGCGCAGAATTAAGTATATATACGTGATATTGTACTTCCGGGAAGGGGGCGCGCGCCATTCGGGGCCACGGCTGTCAATCACCGGGTCCCAGCTGGTAATTACTCGCCGGCGCCTGGTGATTTCTGACGAACACGACTGGGAGGAGGACAGTTTTGTTTACGAACAGTTCTCCCTGCCAGATTGGGCACAGCACAGCCATCCAGAGCAGTGTGATTACAGTGAAACACACACACACACCACCCCCTAGTAAAACACTCCCTGCACACAGTTAACCCTTTGATCACCCCTCATGTTAACCCCTTCCCGCCCAGTGCCATTAGTACAATGTCAGTGCTTTTTTTTTTTTCTTTTAGCACTGATCACTGTATTGGTGTCACTGGGGATGTCAGTGACACCAAGTCAGTTCCCCCCGTGTCAGAATTTCCACCGCAGTTCCGCTATAAGTCGCTGATCGCCGCCATTACTAGTAAAAATAAAAAATTTTAAAAAATCCCAGTATATATACTGCCATTTTTTTAACTCTATAACTTTCATGTAAACCAATTCACTTACATGTATTGGGTTTTTTTTTTTTTTTTTTTTTAGCAAAGACATGTAGCAGAATACATTTTGGTGTAAATTTATGATGAAATTAGATTTTTAAAAAATTTTTTACTGAACATGTTTAATAGCAAAAAGTCAAAAATATTGTTTTTTTTTTCTCAAAATTGTAGGTTTTTTTTATAGCGCAAAAAATAAAAACCGCACAGGCAATCAAATACCACCAAAAGAATGCTCAATTTGTGGGGAAAAAGGACAGACATTTCATTTGGGTGCAGCGTTGCAGGACCACGCAATTGTCAATTAAAGTAATGCAAAAAATTGCCTGGTCAGGAAAGGGGGTATATCCTCAGAAGGGCAAGTGGTTAAAGTATAACTGAAGGCAAAACATTTTTTATTTACTTGTTTATTTTAGTTTTAAATAAGGTGGCAATGGATTGGAACACCTGTTTTTATTGCTACCTCTGCCCCCATTAGGGAGATTATTCCTCTATTTGCCCTGTTTTCGTTATCATTGAAGTGACAGTAAAAGAAAATCCCAAATGTTGTGTTGTCTCCAGAACAGAGTGGAAATCTTTCATTTGGAGAAATAGTTAGGGGGACCTGGGTGGCTTCAATGGACTACCTTAATTTTCAGGGATTGCTGCTCACTTCTTTTTTTGGCTGTGGGACTGGAAGTGAAGGTAAATTTCCTCAATGACACAGAGATGTCAAAAGAAAAAAAAACAGACAGGATTATAACCTTCCTTTACTGGTTAAAAAAAAGTATAACTAAAGGCTAAACTGAAAACTTTTTTTTTTTTTAAATTTGGATAAAGTGGTGAGGGGTTTGAACCCTTTAGAGAGATTTACTCATGATCACCAATGGCACCAGAAATGAACATTAGGGTAAATCCAAAATTTTGAGATTCCCCCAGAACAGAAATAAAGGGAAAATCTTACAATGAGGATACATGTTCTTGTGACAACTGGGTTTTACTGGGGTTGGAAAGATTGTGACAGGACAGGAAGGGAAGTGGAGGGTAATCTCCATAATGCTACACGGATGGCAAAAAAAAGGTACTGCAGATTTATTTCTCTTCTGTTACTGTATCTGTTTCTCTAAAAAAAAAAAAAAAAAAACTACTAATACTTTTGCTTTCATGTAAACTTTAAATTGTACACGAGAGAAATAGGATCTGCCATTGCTGGCCTTTCTGAAAATGCTTGTTGCTTGGCTGTATTTAATACTTTTTGAAGCACAGACCTGAGACCATGATGCTGTACATGTTCTGCATAAGTGACTCAAAAGACAATGAAGCCAATACACTAGCATCTCAGAAGGAGAGGTCAGCAGTAGTAGCCTAAATCTTCCTTCCATCAGAAATCATTCTTTCATGGCAGGTGTTTTAAAGCACAACCTGGAGTACAGCGAACTTATGTTAAAGCTGTTGAAAACTCTGTTTTCTCAAATTCAACTGCCATGATAAATGCTGTCTTTTAAATCGTGCAACTCTTTTTACTTACATGTGGGTGGAAGTACAGCGCCTCCTGTACTTACGTGCCTGCTTGAATGTAAGTGCTGCAGGTTTCATAAGCCCTCAGCACTATGATCACATCTCCGCCATTCATGAAACGCACACCCCAGGCTCCATTTTGTGAATGGCCAAGAAGAGTTGGAGGAAGAAATGCGACCATAGAACTGAAGTCTATGAGACTTAGAGCACTTACATTGGAGCTGACATCAGAAGTACAGAGGGAGCTATAATTCCACAGCAGATAAACAAGAAGTGTGGTTACATTTAAAGGCCCATTCACACCATGGAAACCCATGTTCCCTATGCATTTCCTGCCCCATGTTCAACACACTGGGTGTGCGATCTGCTGCAGGCTTCAATATATTCCTAACGACAGCCTCAATGCAGATTACAAATGCAGTGCAGAGTACCATGCGATCCAATTGCAGTGTGCTTTTAAAAGTAGTGCTTCCACTATTGGTGTGATCCAGTGCGAAAATCGCACCGTATTGAATTGCGCAGGAATGCGGACCGCGTTTCTGTGAGATTCTGGTGTGAACCAACCCTAAAAGATGGCATTCAACACAGGAGATGGCTTTTAAAGAAACAGGATCTTCACCTGCTTTAAGTTCATTGTGACCAGAGTTTGTCTTTAGCATCATTACACAGCTTCTTGTGACTTTGTTTTATCTTCAGCAACCACATTTCTGTGTTTTTTCAAGTACAGTATAATTAAAGTCAATACTCTTTTTGTGGATTCCAATAGGGTGGAAAATGTTTCGTTGTTGTCTATGACCCCGCTGGGGAGATTAACCCTTTTATTTGGAAATCTTCCAAGAGGAGATTTTCCTCAGTATGTAAAGATTTCCTTTCACTTCCTGTTCCGTATCTCCAGACAGGAAATAAAGGAAAGACTCCCCAATGGGACACAAGACAGCAATATAAAAAACCCTGTCAGAGATTTTAGGCATTTTCTACTCCATCCAAAACGTTTTTAAAAATTGTGTTTTAGATTCAGATATACACTATATTGCCAAAAGTATTGGGCAGCCTGCCTTTACACACACATGAACTTTAATGGCATCCCAATCCTAGTCTGTAGGGTTCAATATTGAGTTGGCCCACCCTTTTCAGCTATAACAGCTTCAACCCTTCAGGAAGGCTGCCCACAAGGTTTAGAAGTGTGTTTATGGGAATGTTTGACCATTCTCTCAGAAGCGCATTTGTGAGGTCAGGCTCTGATGTTAGACGAGAAGTCCTGGCTCACAGTCTCCACTCTAATTCATCCCAAAGGTGTTCTATTGGGTTGAGGTCAGGACTCTGTGCAGGCCAGTCAAGTTCCTCCACCTCAAACTCACTCATCCATGTCTTTATGGACCTTGCTTTGTGCACTGGTGTGCAGTTATGTTGGAACAGGAAGGGGGCCAACCCCAAACTGTTCCCACAAACTTGGGAGCATGAAATTGTCCAAAATGTCTGGGCATGGTGACGCCTAAAGAGTTCCCTTCACTGGAACTAAGGGGCCAAGCCCAACCCCTGAAAAACAACCCCACACCATAATCCCCCCTCCACCAACTTTTACACATGGCACAATGCAGTCAGGCAAGTACCATTCTCCTGGCAACCACTTAACCCAGACACATCCATCAGACTGCCAGACAGAGACGTGTGATTCGACATTTTAGAGAACACATCTCCACTGCTCTAGATTCCAGTGGCAGCGTGCTTTACACCACTGCTCTGACCACGCTCTGCCATTTTACGTGGCCTACCATTTCGTGGCTGAGTTGCTGTTGTTCTCAGTTGCTTCCACTTTGTTATAATACCACTAACAGTTGACCATGGAATATTTAGTAGTAAGGGAATTTCATGGATGGACTTATTGCACAGGTGGCAACCTATCACGGTACCACGCTTGAATTCACTGAACTCCTGAGAGTGACCCATTCTTTCACAAATGTTTGTAGAAGCAGTCTGCATGCCTAGGTGCTTGATTTTTTATATCTGCGACTATGGAGGTGATTGGAACACCTGAATCCTATGATTTGGAGGGCTGGCCCAGTGCTTTGGTAATATAGTGTATTTAACTTTAGAAGTACATGAATGTTTGTAATTCCATCAAATAAACAGGAATTGAGGACACATTTCTTAAATTAAAACAGAGAGAGCTAAAAAAATTAACAGAGGTTCTAAAACTTAAAAAAAAAAACTCTACAGTTAGACTTAAATCTTTAAAGATCAATTTATAGCATTCAGATAAGTAAAAATGAGTTCTGGCTATTATGGACTACTTTACTTGTGATATCTCATATATGATGTGAACTATGCAGTCTGCATGATATTTGACATATAATAAATATAGTTGGAATTGGTGTCTTACTACTTTTCAAACCTTTTTGGTCACATATTTTCTGGTGTTGAGGCCACACATTTTACCTCATGGCAGTCTTTGTTTTGTATTATTATTATTATTATACAGGATTTATATAGTGCCAACAGTTTTCTCAGCGCTTTACATTATAATGGGAGACTATACAGCAACAATACAGTTCAATACAAGAGGGATAGGAGGGCCCTGCTCCTTGGAGCTTACAATCTAGGAGATGTATTGTGATGCCATTCATTTAGAACACCACACAGTACAGTAGGTGCCGACAGACCTGCACTGCACTGACTCGCATCAAAACATGTATTGTAGTGCATTGCATTTACAGACAGGTGTAGGTCAATGTTTGTTCAGTTGCCAATTTTATGCAAGTCGTTTTAAATGAATGGTCTTCCTTAACGCAACGCACATAAGCGCATGACATACTGCATGTAATTTTGTATGCAGTAATGCAGCAGAACAGGTAGGAGTGAAGGGGTCTTTAGACTACACTGCCTGGTACCTATCTTTATCATTTTATAGATGGGTCTTGTGGGAGAGATAGTTTGTAATTCATCAAAAAGTCAGACAGCTGTATACGTATAATACCATTCTACCCCAAAAAAAGGGAAAAACTTAGGTATTGCTGTTGAATATTTCCTTTATTGTTCCTTATCATCGTTGGTCGAGCATGGATGGATATATTTGTACTTAGCTCTATTGCAGTGGACACTTCTCTACCCGCTGGTACTTAAAAGCTGTGTCATTGCTAAATTATAATAGTAGGCAAAAAAAAATATTAAGGCGCCTGGGGGTTTCCATCATCGGAGAGATTATAATGTGATGTAACAAGCAGGAAGCTGAATGTTCTGTAGGGGGTAAAAGGCATCTGAAATCTTCATTCAAAACGTAGTTAAAACTAAGTGAACTGAATTGTACATGCCTGTAAAAAATCTGATTCTTGTGTATATCATGCTTCATGGTGGGCAGCTTGTAGATTTTAGGGATCTCATACGGTTTATACTTCTGTAAAGAGGCTACTGTATTTGGTGACGGTTAAAGAGTACGTACACACATGAAAATGACAGCACACACATTTCTGTTTTATTGTGTTGTAGGCACATTGGGTTGCGTTTTTGTTGTTTTCAAGGCTACCTTGAGTTAAAGGTTCAAAGCCATGAAATTCTTCATTTTTCATAGCTGCACAATTCAAAAAAAGAAAAAATTAGCATTACATTGTGTTTATCCCTTTTGTACTTATCTTGCCATTTAACAACTGTAGCATGTATATATTGTTTTACAACAGAGGAAAGCATGTATAAACATCTACACATGACCACCCCTATTGACCAATATCAAAAATATTTTTAACGGTATATGTACTGTAAATGGAACTCCAAACCTTGGTCCTGAGATGAAATAATCTCCTGAATATGATAGCTGCTTAGATTGCAGACTTTGGTAATCTAGCTTGCTTGTGAGTATACTTGTCTCCTTACTGACTCCAAGAACACCATGGTGTCACTTGTAGTAGTGTTTATTATGCTTGCTAACAGTGACATTAATTAACATTGCCCTGTTAATAAGATCAGCTTCAAAGTGGTTCTAAAATCAAAAAAGGTTTTTTCTTTTTTTCACCTTCTATGCATTAAGGTAAAAAAAAAAACTTTCAATATTAACATGTTAAACAGCAGTATATATCATCTTGTGATTTCTATCAGTGTCTGGTTGAGCACTGGTTAATCTTGTAGGAGGAATTTTCATTCTCCTCTGACTGTCCAATGAGTCTCCATGACCCCTGACCCTCTGTCCGAACAGTGCTGATTAGCCCTGTGCTGGTCACATGCACCCTTCCAAAAAAAAAAACAAAACTCTTGCAATGCACAGCAAACTGAGCATGTGCAGACTTGCCACTGCTGCTCTGTACTATGGCAGAAGGATGGGGACAGTACAAGAAGGGGAGGTTAAGAGAAGACAGGATCAAATAGCCTTTGTATACAATGCAGAGTTTAACCCCTTAGGTTCTACAGTGAATAAAACAGGCATGCTTTTCTGCATATGCAGACTGATTTTATTGTTGTGGGTTTAGTAACACTTTAACCACTTGCCTACCGGGCACTTATACCCCCTACTTTACCAGGCCAATTTTCAGCTTTCAGCTCCGTCGCACTTTGATTGACAATTGCGTGGTCATGCAAGATTGTACCCATATGAAATTTTTATAATTTTTTTCTCACAAATAGAGCTTTCTTTTGGTTGTATTTAATCGCCGATGGGTGCTTTACTTTTAGAGCTATAAACAAAAAAAGTGCAAAAAATTTGAAAAAAAAAAATTTCTTTGTTTCTATTATAAAAATTTTCAAACAGGTAATTTTTCTCCTTCACTGATGTGCGTTGATGAGGCAGCACTGATAGGCGGCACTGATAGGCAGCACTAATGAGGTGGCACGGATAGGCGGCACTGATAGGCAGCACTAATGAGGTGTCATTGATAGGCGGCACTGATAGGTGGCACTGATGATGGGTACTGATAGACAGAACTGATAGGTGTCACTGCTGGGCAATAACTGGCGCAACTGCTGGGCACTGACTGGCACAACCGCTGGGCACTGACTGGTGGCACTGATTGGCAACACTGCATTGATGGGCACTGGTGGGCACATGTGGGTGGCACTGGTGGGCACACGTGGGTGGGCACAGGTGGGTGGCACTGCTGGGCACAGGTGGGTGGCATTGCTGGGCACAGGTAGGTGGCACTTCTGGGAACAGGTAGGTGGCACTGCTGGGCACAGGTGGGCGGAACTGGTGGGTGGAAATGCTGGGCACTGATCATCAGGGCACTGATCATCAGTGCCCTGATGATCGGTGCCGATCCCTGCTCTGACAACTGCCGGTTCTCGGCAGTACTTTCCTCGCGCTCTGACAGCGTGAGGAAAGTGCAGCCAAGAACCAGCTATTGCATTTCCGGGTAATCAGTGTGTCATTGGATACGGCTGATCATGTGGTAAAAGGCCGCTGTGATTGGCCTTTTACCACATCACGTGATCAGCTGTGTCCGTAGGACACAGAGATCACGGAGATCACCAGGGGCACGCAGGAGAGCGCATTCTGGGAGGACGTCATATGACGCCCTCCCAGAACTGGCCAGCCGCAGTGTAGCCGTCATTCAGCTATCTGCGGTTGGCAAGTAGTTAATACCTAATAAATAATATAACACATACCTAGTTTACCAAGCTTAAATTGGTAAATAAAATAAAAATTAGTAATAAGGGGAGAAAAAATGCACTTAATTCCCAATAAGAAATGAGTGTAATGTATTAAAGTGGAAAAAAACTATGAGTTACCCTTGGATATTGACAGATTTAAGCTATTATTTTTTTGTGCAGATTTTTCCTGCCTGGTTATTGGGCGCAACCATTACATTTCTGATTTATGAAAGCTCATGTCTAATACTGATCTCTAGCATTTAATGAAGTTTTGCCCAAACTGTTACCTTCACTACTAGGTGTGTGCGCTCTATAAGCTGTATGTAGCCTAATCTATATACAGTATTGAGCGTTGTGTTCAAGCTGTGGGATGGGAACTTCCAACTCTCTCCCTCGAACAAAATTGAATCAGTCTAAGTGCTGCTCAGCCATTCACAGGGAGCTTTGTGTTTTCTGAATGAGTACTAAACTTCTTGGCAGAGATCATGACATCATCTGCTTGCCTCTCAGCCTCAGCCAATGAGAGGAAGCTTTGTATCTATTCAAGGTCCTGGTGAATGGCTGAGCAGTGCTCAGCCCGACTCGATTTTGTTTAGGAGTGGGACGGCAGTTCCCATCCCGCTACCGGAACACAGTGCTGTATACTGTATGTAGCTGAGGCTGCATACAATTTATACATTGCACACAGCAATCACATCTAACATTGAAGGTAATAGTTTGTATGGACCAGCTTGGTCCAAATGAACTATTTAAACTTCTCTAAAAGCTGGAGATCAGCTTTGAAGTTCTGTAACAATTAAAAAAATGGACAGTATCTTCTAACTCGAAGAACAATTCCTGCAAAAAGAAGAGTATGGATTTCCAGGATAGATTTCAACAGTGAGAAGGTCCGGGATCTTGCAGATTTTCTGGCAGATAAAGAAGATGGGGACTGGAGCATAGTTGAGTGCAAAGTGGGGATTGGTGGAGTCAAACGTTGTGTAGGGCGAGGACAACAGAAGAGACAGTAGAGGAGGTAGGTACATGATACAATGGTGTGCCTACCATCTCTCCTGCAATAAAAACACAGTAGCTATTGGAACTACCTTACCTACTCATTCAGACAGTAATACGTACTGACTTTTGGCAACAGCAACCTCAATGCTGTGTGTTTTGAGAATTCATTTTTAGTTTTGACCTTGCATAATTCTTCACAGATCTCCAAAGTAGTATTCACGGGGTGAGCTTAGCTGCACCTGCTCAGCAGGAAAACGTCCTTCAGGATATTATTTTAAAATGTTGGCATGTGTCAATGTTCTTACTGTCTGCCCCTAGGCTGAATGCTAAAAGCTGCTTTTGCTACACTTGCTACTAGGATCAGAAAATTCAGTCAGCTCAAACATCTGACTAGTAGAAATGGACTTTTATGGTCACACCTGAGCTTCACACCAATATGAGCTTGTTGGACATTCTCTGTTAAAACCATGAGGATTAATATAGAGTTGGCCCCCACCTTTGCATTTATAACCTGCTCCGCTCTTATGTGAATTATTTCATTTGTGAGGTCAGGTACTGGTGTTTGATGCACATCCACCACCTCCTGCGCTCAGGGGCTCAGGTTTGCAGCTGCAGAACTGACAGAAACACTGACACAGTGGCTGAATGCCTTCTATGAATAGGAACTGAATCCAAATTGAATATTACTATCAATAATCCAGGCCTGAGGAAGAAGGGATCACCCTTCGAAACGCGTTAGCTTGACCAAGAGTTTATCTCCCTTCCGGATGGAACTCGCACATGACTTTTAACCCTGTGTTGGCTATGGATAGTATATGCCTTTTTTACTGCTACTCTTGTGAGTATAATTTATTAATAAATACACAAACTGTTTACTGAGGTAATGCGCAAGATTGGTGCGCTCTTTTCTTTTGTTCTTTACTACTGGTGTTTGATGAGAAGACCTGGCTCAAAACCTCTTGCCAATTCCTCTAAAAGGTGTTTAGTAGGGTGGAAGTGCAGGACATTAAAGTTTCACCACACCATACTCCTCAAACCATGTCTTTATGGAGCTGACTTTGTGCACAGAGGCATAGTCATGCTGGAATAGCAACGGCCTGACCAAAATTGTTGCCATATGGTTGGAAATGCACAGTTTTCTATTATGTGCTTTGCTGTACAGTAACAGTATTCTTAACTGGAAAAAAGCTAAACTTAATAACTTGGAGGGGTGTTCTCATACATTTGGCCATATACAGTAAGTAGGTGTGATGGTCGGGTTTCCTCAAAATTATGGCTATATAGTGTATAACTTGAGCAACAGAGTTAATAAGCCAATAGCTTTCTTAACCACTTGCCCACTGGGCACTTTCCCCCCCTTCCTGCCCAAGCCAATTTTCAGATTTCATCGCTGTCGCACTTTGAATGATTATTGCACGGTCATGCAACATGTACCCAAATTACATTTTTAGCATTTTTTTGAGACATATAAAGCTTTCTTTTGCTGGCATTTACTCACCAGTAGGTGTTTTATTTTTTGTTAAACAAAGAAAAGACCAAAAATTTTGAAAAAAAATATTTTTTTTCTTAGTTTATGTTATACCATTTTTCAAACAGGTAATTTTTTTTTCTACTTCACTGATGTGTGCTGATGAGGCTGCACTAATGGGCACTGATATGCAGCACTGATGGGTACTGATGAGGCTGCACTGATGGACACTGACAAGTCGGCACTGATAAGCGGAATGATGGGCACTGACTGGCAGCACTAATGGACACTGTTGGGACTGCATTGATGTCCTCTGATGTGTGAATACACTTACCAATTACTGACTCTTCTCTCCCCTCACTCTGTGACAGTGTGAGGAAAGTACAGCCGATAACCGGCAACTGTATTTACACTGTGATCAGCTGTGTCATTGGACACAGCTGATCACGTGGTAAAAGGGTGCTGTGATTGGCACTTTACCATGTCATGTGATCAGCTGTGTCCAAAGAGTTCACCAGGTGCACGGTTCTGGAGGACGTCATATGACTCCCTCCTAGAAATAGACGACCGTGCTGTAGTTGTCATTCAGATAAAGCCGGTTGTCAAGTGGTTAAAGTGGTTCTAAAGTTTCATTGTTTTTTTTACCTTAATGCATTCCCTGCATTAAGGTAAAAAAAACACTTCCACCCCCACCCCCCCCTTTTCCCCAAACCGTTGCCTCAGTCCTCTCTTGATCCAGCTCTGTCTCGTGTTCAACAGCGCTCCTCTGTCTTCCTTCTCTCACAGGACACTCCTGCTGTTGTCAGTCAAATCCTGTGAGGAGGGAATCGGGGGCATGCTGCGCTGTGTGTGTTTACAGATGCACACAACCCGCCTTGGGAGCACACCCACATGGGTGCCCCCTCAGCACACGGCTTGTTTAGCATGGCACTTGGAGAAGAGGAAGAGCAGAGAGCTCTGGCAGTGGACTCCAGAGACCACTCTGTGCTTTCAGCTTGATTCATGGAACTACTTTAGAAATGTCTTATGAAACCATATCAGATAATCTGTTTAATCTGTTTAATTTAATGAATATATTACCCCAACATTTCATGTTACTTATATTGATGATTTCTGATATCTTTGCATTGCTTTTTTTGTGTGTGAAATACCTGGTGATCCTGCCAGTCCCCCTGCTTTCCTATTTCAAACTGACCATGCTCAGCATGAGAGGACATCTATCTCAGCCATGGTCCGTTTTCTCTCTCTGCTGGAAGAACAGACTGCCTGTCATTCAATGATCAAACTTGTGATATCACTCCCCTTCTTCCTGCGCAGCCTTTCACTGGGAAGATCAGTGTGCTGCCTTTTTTTTTCCACCCCTAGCTCTGCAAGCTCTTTATGCAGCTGAGAACATAGATTATGTGATCACTGTGAAATCAGCGAGGACTGGAAGGTCTCAAATGATCCTTATGGAATAGAAAACCGGACACGACAAGCATTTTCATAATTTCTGGTTTCCCGGATGTTAACAGCGCCATTTTTAAATAGGTAAAGCATCGGAACACAGTGATCTTTGTGTGATTAGATGCTTTCAGAGCAGAAGAGAGATTGGGGGTCTAACAGACCCCCAATCTCCCCATGAAGAGTACTTTTCACTCTGTTGCTGTCACAGAGGATGTTTACATTCCTTGTGACAGCAATAAAAGTGATCCCAAAAAGTTAAAATAGTGTAAAAAAAATTGATTTATATATATTTTTTTAATTTTTAAAGGATAATAAGTTCACCTTTGGGAACATGCTACATGTTCCACCTGTTCTCATAGCCACAGCTGCCTCACGCCACCCCCCCTCCCTCTGACAGATAATACAGGGAGAAGTCTCAGTGGTGCTGTGTTTCTCTTCTTGTTTACTCCAGAGCCATTGCTTTACTCTATTACAGCTCACCGGTTGTTTTCTGACCGCATATTCTCCTGTCAGCTCCTGACCCCACACTCATCAAAGAGACTATGTGGACTGCTCATTCCATGCGCCTGTCATCCTCTTGTAATCACACTGGTGGTAATGTCTCTGACTAAACAATCAGAAACAGACTTCATGAGGGTGGCCTGAGGGCCCAACGTCCTCTAGCGTTCCCTGTGCTCACTGTCCAGCACCATAGAGCTCCATTGTCATTTTCAATTGAACACCAGAATTGGCATGTCCACCACTGGCGCTCTGTGCTGTTCACAGATGAGAGCAGGTTCACATTGAGCCCATGTGACAGACATGAAAGGGTCTGGAGAAGCCGTGGAGAATGTTATGCTGCCTGTAACATCGTTCACCATGACTGTTTTGGTGGTGGGTCAGTGATGGTCTGGGGTGGCATATCCATGGAGGGATGCACAGACCTCTACAGTCTAGACAGTGGCACCCTGACTGCCATTAGGTATCGGGATGAAATCCTTGGACTCATTGTCAGACCTTACGCTGGTGCAGTGGGTCCTGGGTTCCTGCTGGTGTACTACAATGCCCAGCCTCATGTGGTGAGAGTATGCAGGCAGTTCCTGGAGGATGAAGCAATTGATACCATTGAATGGCCCCCATGCTCGCCTTACCTAAATCCAATAGAACAGCTCTGGGATAGCATGTTTCGGTCCATCCGATGCCTCAAGGTTGCACCTCACACTGTCCAGGAGCTCAGTGATGCCCTGGTCCAGATCTGAGAGGAAAAGCCCCAGGACACCATCCGTCGTCTCATTAGGAGCATGCCCCGATGTTGTCAGGCATGCATACAAGCACCTGGGGGCCATACAAACTACTGAGTACCATTTTGCTTTGCTTCAATGAAATTTCAGTCCATATCAGTATAGATATCCTGCGTGAGATTTTTTTCCCCGTTGAGATCTGGTGTGTTTTCAAAGTGTTCCTTTAATTTTTTTGAACAGTGTACTTTAATGTTGAATTGAAAAGAGCTCGAACAGACTGTCACTGCCATCACAGAGAAATGGTTGAACTTATGCAGTTTTTGTATTGTGATTAGTTTTTTGTTCTTTTATAGTGTTATTAAAATGTAATTTGTATTTTAAATGATTGGTCCTGCAAACCACACAAGTGTTTATTGTTACAGTTATTCAGTACGTTTCACAATCCTATCTAATTAAAAAAATGTGTGTGTATGTGTATATATATATATATATATATATATATTTACACTAAAAACTGTTCTAAACACTCCAGGGATGGAAATAATGAGCACCTGTTTATTAGGAGTCATGACTCCAGTCAGTGTGCAACAATCTTTTTTTATTTTTGACCATTTGGTTTGCTTGATCATAAATGGCACTCTTTGAGCCAAAATCTATAACAATGATGCCTTGGCAATCATTTGAAAGATTGTTCACCCAAATTGTCATATTTCCCGACCCTCCCAGTTGTTCTCATTTTGGGTCAGTTGCCAATAGTTTTTTAAATTGTGAATAGATTGGTTTATTAATAAATGTATGGTCAGCGTATCATGAAGTATTGCAATGACGAAATGCTACAGACAAACTGCATTTTAAATTCTGTGGTTAGGTTGAAGGAATTTCTGTTACCAAAAAAAAAAAAAAGTTTCATCGTACCAATGGGAATAGATTTTGTCTATTTCTTAATGACTACATGCCACTTATAATCAATACATGAGGTCATGAAGTCTATCTTTGACTTGACGATATGTCATGTATATGGCATCTTCTGAAGCCTCCTCTCTGGGGTAGGATTCATCCGCTTATAAATACTGCCTTGAGCTTCCTGATAATTAATAAATGATTAATCATTACTTTCAGATTGTCAGGATCTTTTATTAGGAATAGCTCATGAAGTGTCTTTCAGTTATATAACACCCAAGGTACTGACACAAAGGATCCAAAGCCATGAAATTACAATATTCTTTTTGTGTTCCGGGACAGTGTATTTTTAAACCACTTTTATTTCCTTTTTTGCTGTACAAAATGGAATTTATTTTGCTGCAGCCAAGCATTCCAGCTATGATTTTCTTCTTCATTGTGCTTAATTTAATTAAACGCCAAGATTCATTGGAATTAAAATGGAGGCAATGATTCTTTTCATGTTGTTGCTATGGTGATAAACAATATGTAATTCCTGCATTTAACATTAACAAACAATTTAGCCACAGTAGGCAAATATTTACTCCAGTCAAGCAGACAGTTATTTGAAAGCTATAGACAAAGTGTCCTGAAGACCATTTTAGTCATTGCTGCATAGACGTGGATCTTCTACGAGAAGGCAAATTAAACAAGTCTGACAACAGCGAGCTGGCTACTGAACATAATGTGCGCTTTTCAACATTTCTGAAAGATCAAACACAGCCAGAGTCACCCATGTCCTACTATGGTTCTTATATTAAGAAATGTTTAGAGATGTTTCAAGGGAAGATGTATTAATTGGGGTCAACACGAATTTCATTTTTGTTTAAGCGATTGTAAACCCTTACCCATTCTGTTTAAAATAGAAATGAAAGACAAAACTTTTGTGTATAGACATAAAAAACATTATATACACACACCCCCCCCCCCCCCTTTTTTTTTAGTATAAGTGATCACATTTTACTGTGTTCTCAGCTGCATAAGAACTGGGGAGGAAGGATCAGCAGCACACTGATCTTTCCAGTGAAGCTAGAGAACTGACCACAGAGTGCTCTCCTGCCTAGCGTGGTCAGTTTATATTAGGAAAGCAGAGGTACAGGCAGGAACACTAGGGATTCCACACAAAGGAAACAATACAAAGAGAACAGGATACTTTTTCATACAAGTACATAGTACAGCAGGCACATGTCAGGAATATGAAATGTTGGGTTTACATATTCTCTAAAGCCAAACAATCACTGCATCTACCACCATCCCAAACCAAAACCCTGTTTAATTCATTCATTATATTCAAAGCAAACGCGCTCATCCATTCATGTCCCCATGCTTTATTTTGCTAAGAAATCACGTTGAAAAACACCCACTAGCATTTCTGGCCGTGGTCATCTCAAGTTAGTGCAGATGATTCATGTGGCATTTACTTCCTAGAATCCGTCTGCTCTTAGCTCAGGCATGCAGACAAGAGGGTGTTTTTAGCTAAGAAAACTCTTCCTCTTCTCCTGAAGACTACTGGGATGTATGACATCAGTTGCCTAGGCATGGAATCCAGGAAGTAGCTGAAGAAATGTAAAAAAAAAAAAAGTTTAAAGCAAGTAAAATATATACTTTTCTATTTATTTACTAATGCTAGATTATTATTATTATTATACAGGATTAATATAGCGCCAACAGTTTGCTCAGCGCTGTACATTATAATGGGAGACAGTACACGAGACAGTACAGTAACAATACAGTACAATACAAGAGGGGTTCGAGGGCCCTGCTCCTTGGAGCTTACAATCTAGGAGGGAGGGGAGAGTGGTACAGGAGGAAATAGCTGTGGGAGATGGAGTAGTGGGAAGAGCGGAGGAGATCAGCAATTAGGTGAGGG